ACATTATTCCAACATCTGCGCGTTTTTCGTATTTTGGACCTCTATTTTTTCTTGGAACCTCTAAACTTTTTTGGGACCTCTAATTTTTTTTGGGACCTCTTTTTTATTTTGGGACCTCTAATTTTTTTTCGGACCTCTAAATTTTTTTGGGACCTCTAAACTAGAAAAGAGCCCGCTATTGTCTATTTGTACCTCAACTATCTCGGTTGCTGTTCGAGATATCACAAATCTGTAAACTGAGAAGATGTTGGTGATATTATCACAAAAATTTTATCAATTGACAAACTTTTGATATCTTTTATAGGAATGGAGATAATTAAGCGTCAATTTGAACTGTCCTAAAACCTGTACTTTCAACTTTGAGCCAGTTTATCTGGCTTCCTGAGAGGGATATCAAAAAGTGGTTAACTGACAAAATGTTCACTGTGATATCAGAAATACTTTTATCAGTTCACAAATTTTTGATATCTTTTACAGGTCTATTCAGGTTTTAAGGTAATCAATTTAAGTAATTTATCTCAGATTAAAAAAATCCAATTCTAATTCAGTCAGTTTTAGCGCATTTTACTGCTATTTTTGTTGAATTATACTACAACAATCTAAGATTGTATTAAAATTTAATTAACCATAACCTCTTTTAGGTTCAAACTCCCCATTTTTCAGTCTACACATCAATGATCAACTTTGAACCCTTATATCTCATTTTCTGTAAAATATATCGAACAGCGATCAACGATTAAAATGTTTTTCATAATATCATCAACATTTTATCAGTTGATCACTTTTTGATATCTCTTACAGGAACAGAGATAAATTGTCTCAAAGTTGAATGCTATTGGGTCTTTTTGAGAAGAGCGCGACGTTTAAAGGCGCATATCTCCTTAACCATCATATTTATCACAATTGTGTTCATTGATAAAATGTTGCTGATGTTTTGAAAAACATTTTATCCGTTGTCACATTTTTGATATCTTGCATAGGAACCGAGATAATTTGACCCAAAGTTCAAAGTTGGGACTGTTAACCTTATTTTTCACATACCGTAAAACCTCTAATAGAACGACACCCGGATCGTCCACTTTGAGCCTATATATCTCAC